AGGGGACCCGCGGTGGGGGGAAAGTGCCGTTGGGTCTCTTCACTGTCCGGCCAGGCTTCCCAAAAGGTGTCCAGGGGCGGGTGAGTCAGCAGAAATTTTCCCCAAAGCCAACATTACCAAACCGGGAGAAAAACCAAGATCGGTGGCAAAACTCCCCTCCAAATGGATCCACCAGCTCGGCAAGACTGTAGCAATATCCCAGCGCATGCGCACCTCTTTTTACATCCTCTCCGCCAGCTGTAGTTTCCCAGGAAGCCAATTACCGATCCCAGCGCTGCCTCCCTAGGACGGATCCTCTTGTCAGATCACGGACTGCCTGACATGGTGCTAGAGCAGCGTCAGCAGACGACAGGACTCATCGCTCATGGTTTCCCGAGCTGCCTCAATCCCAATGGGGTTGAAACCCAGAAGCTGTCAAACAGCCGAGAGGCTACTTGACATGCAAAGCCTGACAGCTCCTCTTCTGTTTGCTTGCAAAAGGCCAAGGCTAAGATCCAGGGGGGTGATTTTCCTCTATTGTTTTTGTTTCTAATCTGCAAGGAATTGAAACAGAATAATAAGAAATGACGACTAATAACATGTTAAATCATAAAGTTGATCAATAGTGGACGTTTGTGATTAATTTTTCATTTCAACTGCTGTTCAACATTAGGAAAATGAACTGCCGCTGTATTTTTGGAGTTACTGAGAAATCGTAATAACTTGCAGCGCTAAACCTAAATCTTAATGTATACGCTTATGCTAGATTACATTTTTATGATATAAACTACACATAAACCACTTACCTTTCCAAAACTTTCAAATATTTTAGTAGCATATTTTATTATTACAAGGATGACGTTAAAAAGAAAAGGAGGTGTTTATTCTGCAGTTTGTCTAACTGCAATTTATTCATGGAAATGCCAGCACCTGTGAAGCTATAGGGTCCTATTAATGCAGACGATGCTACCAAGCCCAGTTCTAGTTCTTTCCAATACAGCTCAAAAATATATAAAGTGGACTGAGCTCCCAGCAGGAACTGGCAGGCTTTGCTGTACATGGCACACCTACTGGTTTATTTTCATGGGGTGATGAAGAATTGCAATGGTTTCTTAGAAGGATTTCTGAAAATTTCAAACCGCATTTTTCTCCGCCACCTGGTTTCTTTTGCTGCTGATATTCTCTGTTATGGCAGGGAAAATCCAATTCAAGCCAGCTCTGATGTTGACATTATTCACAATGCAGATGAGCTAATCCCAGGTGTTAGTCCTCTGAAATGGGTTGCAGTATTTTATGTATGTTTACTCAGCTGCCCTTATTTAAGAGGACAACTTCTCATTTTAAAAATAATATATATGCCACAGTTCACTCTCTTCCTCTGAAGAGGTCTCTGCATTCAAAGCATTTCAGCAGAGAGGCTCCCCTCTCTGTTTTTCTCCCCCAAGCTGCTATATCTTTTCTGGAAGGTGTGTATTAGCAGATCTCTCCTGATGGAGGAGAGGATCTCCGACACCTCCCTCACCCACCGCTTCCCCCTCACCTCCCTCCCATTTCTTAGCCAGAAGCACTTAGGCAGGCAGAATATCATGTCCAGAGCCGCTGCCAAGCCCTTTGCTGGGCTGGGGGGTGTGTGGGGGGTGTGTGTCTGTGCGGGGGGAGAGGGGGCAGAGATAAGCCTGCCAGGGCGAAACCTGCTTTAAAACAGGCACACACCTCAGCTGCCTGCACCTGACACGTTCAGAGCTGCTAAGTCACCTCCTACTCTCTCTTTATATTTAATTTCTTTCCTCTAAATGTCAACACGTTTATTTTTATTATTTGTCACACGCGAGGTGGGCAAGAGCAGCAGAAGGGA